AAGAGCTCACCAAAGTATCTTTAAAAAAAAAAAACTTTTAAGTCTAATATTAAACTAATTCCTCAGGTTTTTTTTTTTTATTAATATAACAATAACAATTGTTTACAAAGACGTAACTGTCATGTTATGTAGGGACATAGCTCCATGAATCTGCAGTAAAATCTGACACAGAAAACAGTCCAAACATTCTAAATATGAGAGAGGCTTCAATCATTTTTACTCTCTGTATGGAATTCAAAGTACTTTGTACCAATCCAGTAATTTTGTAAACATGAAGCACAATTAGATAAAGGATTCTCACTTCTCCCAAAATACCAACTATTTTCTGATTTTAATGAAGTCGGTTTGGAAATTGTATAAGTCTTTCAAACTATTTAGAATTCCAAAGAGGGAAGAAATGAGAATGACTAATTCATCTTTCAAATCACAACTGAAGATATGCAGTAAGTTATTAGATGGCTCAATACTACATCTGATTTTGCAGTTCACCCATTTAAATTCTGTTGTCCCTCAAGCCAAGACCTCAAGTGTCTGGTTTCATAAAACCTAATTAGATTCTTTCAGTTTCCTGTATCAGTCACTGAGATAGATAAGCCATTTCTCAAATATGTATTGCTAGCCACAAGAACTGAACCACAAAATGTTTGCTTTATTAATCTAAAATATAGGTTATAAGAATCATTCTTATAATCAGAGGGCAGAATATGATGTCAAAAGATATGAACATGGAGATAATATAGAAGTGGATGTAGCAAGAGCAATGGAGTCAGGACAGAAAGAATAATAAAACAATCTGTCCTTTCTTTGATATGCAACCCTCTAAAAATTATTTACTATCCGGCCCTCCCTGGTGGTGCAGTGGGTTAAAGCACAGCACTGAGAATCTAAAGCCGCCTCCGCATGAGTTCGATCCTCACCTGCCCTGGAGGTGACCAGATGGCGCGGCAGACCTCTCCTGACTCACCCGCTGCTCCCCTCAGCAGTGTACTTGGTCAATCTGCCTGTTCTGCTCCCCACTCTGTCTCTGGTGAAGCCTCTCACCGCCCCTGAGCCTCTGGCCTGTACCCCAGTTCTGTATGCACAAATAAATAAATCTTTAAAAAAAAAAGTATTTACTATCCATCCATCCATCCATCATCCATCCTTCTACTTACTTATCAATCTGTCTAGAAAATAGATGTAATTATATGCATCCCATAGAATTATTATGGAAATTATGCTTGCAAAGTCTCCCATGCAAAGTATGTCATGGCACACAGTCCGAGAAATTCAGAGTCTTGATATGAGGAAATGCCCAGAGGCACACTGCTGGTGGGTGAGACATAAATCTAGTAAACCAGTTATCCAGACAAAAGATCTTTAAGGATGCAAATTATTCTATTCCCTGGAGGTAGTACAGGGGCTCAAAGGCTACCTAAATTATATTTTCCATTAGAAGCCATTCTAAGAACAGCCAACCTGGGAAAATTTCCCAGTTAAGAGAAGCCTGATGGAAAAACAGAAATCAAATAGCATCATGAGTGACCCAATCCAGTTTCCAGAACTGCAAGAACTCTTCAGGCTTATACTTCCCTCATGGAATCCCTATTCATGCTCACATACTACAGTGAAATCCTGATACCAAAGAGCTCACCAAAGTATCTTTAAAAAAAAAAAAAAAAGCAGTATTCTTCTCCAGGCAAGCACAGGAGAAAGATTAAAATGGGTAGGGACATTTAGAAAAAAAGAGAAGCAAATTATATAATGATTATTACATTAATCACTATTTAGGAAACATCATATATAAATAAGAAGTAGCTAGAAAATACACAGGGAAAGCAAAAGCAACAGTGAAGTTTCTGGCAGGCAGATTAACATCTGGCAGTCAATGTAGCAAAAATTAAGCTTTGTTGTGTTTTTCTGACCAGTCCAAAAGGAGTTTAAAACCAAAATCTTGGCTCTGATCTAGATCTCTATTTCGCTCTTAACCCATCTGGAGTTTGATATAAATACACACACACACATTTATATGTATAGCTTCATGTATATCTGTAAATATGGAAGATGATATACTTCTGGTTAAGCTTAGAGAGCCAGAGTCTCAATCCAAGCACTTTCACTTAGCATTTAAATCCCCTTGGACATGATAATAATCTTAAGTGTCTGTAATAGAAGAGATAAGAACACAGAGACAGATGACAAAGTAATGTTGCATATCATTTACTGTCATTAGATGATTGAGATAAACCATAAGAATCTAAGTCAGTGCATGACATAGAATGTATGTTTCATACATGTTCAACATAACCATTATATGTTAATATCATATATCCAGTGAAATAATTCACCTTAGCAGAGAAAAAAATGTGCATTAAATCAATATAATGTAGGAACATAAAGAGTGCTGATACTACCAGACATCAGTGTTTTTTAGAAACAATAATCAAAAGGATCACAGTATTGGCAAAAGAATAGACATATAGTGCTAAGACACAGAAGAGAGAAATAGAACCCTGAAATAGATCCACCTGGAAAAAGTCCATTGACCATTGATAAGGAGCAAAGGCAACTCAGTGGGGAAAGGATAATCTTTTCTAACAAATTGTAGTAGAGCAACTGGATATAATAGGTAAGAAAAAATCTGGAAACAAGTCTTATCAACATAAAAATTAGCTCAATGAATCAAAGGCCTAAATGTAACATGAGATTTTAACTGCTATTAACAATACAGAAAAATCTAAGTGACCTCAGGCTTAGCAATGACTTTTAAGATTAAACATCAAAAGTACAATCCATGAAAGGAAAAATGTATAAGCTGGACTTCATTAAAATTATAAATTTCTACTTGCCAAACACACTGTTAAGAGAACAAAACAATCCAAAGACAGGGAGAAAGATTTTTTAAGACACATCTAAGAAAAGACTAGTTTGAAAAACATACAATGAACTCAACACACAACCGTAAGAAACAAACAAGCTGAAAAATAGATAAAAGGCATCAACAGACACCCCATCAAAGAAGATACATAAATGACAAAGGAGGATATGAACAAAATGCTCAAAATCATATCTCATTAGTGAACCTCAACTTAAAATACTTGTGATACCACTATGTACCTATCAGAATGGCCAAAAGGCAACCCCCTGATCACTGAGAAAGCTGGTGAAGATCTGGAATAGCAGGAATTTTCATTTCATTGCTGTGTGAGTGCAAAAACTGATCTGAACATTTGGAATACGGTCTGGAGGTTTCTTGCAAGTCTAAACAATCTATGATCTAGCAATCAAGCTCTTTGGTATTTATCCAACTCATAGGAAACCCTATGTGCATAACAAAACCTGCACAGAGATGTTTATAGTGGCTTTATTCATAACTGACAAAGTTTGGAAGCAACGGAGATACCCTTCAGTGGATGGATGAATAAGCAACTGTGGCATAGCTGAACAATGAAATATAACTCGACTGATGAAAAGTCATAGCTACCAAGCCATGGAAAGACATGGAGGAATTTGAAATGGATACTAAGTGAAAGAAGTGAGTCTGAGAAACCCACATACTGTATGATTCTGATTACATGACATTCTGGACAAGATACAACTTGGAGAAAAGTTGTGAAACTATCCTGTCTAACATTGCAATGGTGGATGTGTGTCTTTACATAGTTGTACAAAACCATAGAGTGTACAACACAAATCCTGTCTAACATTGCAATGGTGGATGTGTGTCTTTTTATAGTTGTACAAAACCATAGAGTGTACAACACAAGAAATGACCCCTAATATAAATGATGTGCATTAGTTAATAGTAATATGTCAGTACTTGGTCATCAATTATAACATATGTACCACATTAATGCAAAATGCTAAGAGTAGGACAAGGGTGAGGAGGGAAATATATGGAAATTCTCCATTTCAACTAATTTTCCTGTAAACATTGAACTTCTCTAAAAAAATCTATAATTTTAAGAGAGTTTGTACGGATGAATGTATGAAATCTGAAAATATGTATAGGAAACAGGCTGAAATGCATGATGGGTAAAGGAGAGTGACTATAAATGAGATTGAAAAAGCAAGATACTGGAATAAGATACTAAACAATTTGATATGTCATATTATAGTATCTAAATTTTAGTGTAGGTCAAGTTTTTTTTGTTAATTATAAAGTCATATTTGCAATTTAGAAAAATAGTTTTCTTGGCTATAAGTATTGTGCTTGCTGGCAACAATCCAAGTTAAAAATGATGATAAGGACAAGATTAGGGTCAGACAGAGTCCCAACCCTATTTTAATATGTTAAACCTCTTGTAAAAAATGGGGCATCTCCATGGTAGCCAGAAGAGAAAAATATTACCACGGGGGATTTGGTAAAAAGCTTTGTCTGTAGGCCATTGTGCAATTTTCTTCCTCTCAATAAATCATGACAAACTGAATAGATAATGGGCTTTTATGGTCTTCTAAGCACATGTGAAATGGATTTATTTGCTGTTACCCTTACCGTAGTCTCACCAAAATTCGTTTAGAAAATAATTAACCATCACTGAACATACAAATCTTTGTTTCTACTCCACAAAGCAACACAGAGTTGTCCTTGTAAGAAACAGCGCAACTCCATATCAATGCCACAAAGTATCTGTCCTTGGACTGATGACCTGGGGCTCAATTTTGAGTCCACTGCTTGTCTTCTCTCCTCACAGTGTCTTAACTGAAAAGGTGTTTTCTTCTTGCCAGGAAGTCATATGAGCTTGTTATTGCACTGGTTTCAGGTACTCCAAAGGTTGACTTTCTTTGTAATGTCCCATTTCTCCCAGCAGAATGTTTACAATGAATTTTATAAAGGTCATACATCCACTATTCTACTGCCAGGTTTGGTGGTACACAATACAGGTATTTTGTAGTGTTACAGTGCCAGATAAACAGGCAAACAAGCAGAAATACAGTTTTACAAATTTAGTCAGGCAATTGCATGTGATGGGATTCAACAGTGTAAGTAGGAAAGGAACAAAAGTGTGAATGTTTTCATCGTGGTCATTGGGTGAGAGGTGATATCAACTAAGATGAGGGGGCAAATGGAGAGATAAAGAATTTAATTTTGGACACTCCATGTTTGGGGTCCTGTGGAAACTTTAAGGTGGAGAAACTCAGTACACAGTAAAAAGTGAGAGTCTAGAAGCTGAAAAGGAGAAACCAGAAAATATTTAACAATTACCGCTATGTTAGGCTGAAGTTGAAGAAGTCAGATGCAAGTGGTCAGACTGGCATGAGGAGAGAGTGTGTCTTAGTTTATATAAAATTTGAAGAAAAAGCTAGAGATGTGGTAAGAAGAAACTACTGCTTTACTACTGTAAAGTGAGGGAGTATGAGGAGGAATTAATAGTAAGAAAAAATGAGAGAATAGTGGAAGACTGCGGGAACAGAATATTAAATCTGGTGATTAAATGTGTGTACACAATGGAAGAGTCAAAGTGATTCTAATGTTTTGATCTAAGGCTTGAAGGAAGGCAACACTATGAACTCATTGATTCATTCATTTCAAAAATGAATAGAACACCATTTATAGGTGAAGCATTGACCAAGTCAGGAGAACAAATTGATTTAGGAAGGTAGCAATTAATCCAGAGGTGTATAAGTTTAGTTTGAGGGACATGTGGGTCATCAAGTTGGAAATATATCAGATAGCAGGAAAGGAGATCAAGGCAAGAAACTATTTCTTAGAGGTAAGAAGCCATCATAAAGGATGAAAGAGAGAAATACCTCTATTTTTACATACACACATTTAGATAATACCTATGAGTATCATTATGGGAGAAGAGGAGGAAGAAAAGCAAATAATAAAGGCAGTGAAGGAATAGCTGCACAGCTAAAAGATCTAGGAAAAGTTTCAGAGTCCATGATGTTAAGTTTTTCAAGAGGGAAGAGGCTGCAGTTCACATCCCACAGATATATCAAAGCAAATGAGATCAGAGAGAAAAGTACTGAATTTAGCCTTTCAGGAAGATTTGGGATAGAAACACAGGTTAAAAAAAAAAGGGCCATGGGAAGAACTGACACTGGGCGTATGGACTTAAGATGGAATCAAGATTCACATACTGGATTTTTAAGATCAGTGAAAATTTGAAAGAATTTGTAATCTCAGAACAATTAACCAGAGAAGAAGGAGAAATGAAAACACGGGAGAGAAGGGGATAAGTGATAGGAAAATAGATTAAAGGAAGCAAGACTACATGGGTGTCAAAAGATTTGGTCAACATCCAGCCAACCTCTGCCTTCACCGTGAGGTGAACTAAGCCTCCCTTGTAAGGATGTCAGAGGACTGAATTATTTCCTGTAAATCTCTGATTGCATTTCACTTAAATGAGAAAATCTTTGTGTCTGTCATTTATTCTTAGTTAGACAGGTTTCAGTGGAGAAGATCCTCTAATTCTCCGCAGAGAATTCTCCACTATTGCAGGTCCCATCCTCCCGTGTAAAGCTAAACAGCAGTACTGGAGACAGCCAGTCTATATTATGAGAGCCTCTTGCCTTCTCTGGGAATCAAACTGAAACTTGCAAAGAAAAAATGAATAATTTCTAAGGGACTGGAGTGGGGGAGTGGGGCGGGGGACATGGAGGCAGGTGTATGTCATTTTCTTCCTTTATTTAAAAAAAAAGAGAGAGAGAGAGAAAGAAATCATGCCCTGGGGACTTGGGGAATAAAATCAAATCAGAAACCAAGAAGCTTGTCATCCTTTCTACCTGTTAATTCTGCCTGCGTTGTTTCTTTCTATTCTCAGCTCTGGCCTCAACTGCAGTCCATTTACACCCCAGTTCTTTCCAAACTTGAACCCGTTTGCAACAGAAGAAGGAATATAAAAGCGCATCACGGTGCCCAGAGTGACACAGGACACCCACACAAGTTTACAGGGACGCAGAAAGTCCAAGCCCGAGTATTCCTCTCCCAACACCTACCCAGAGCTCAGCTCAGCGAAGCTGAGAGCCTAAGCCCAGCAGCACCTCCAAGCCCCCAGCCCAGAGCAACAGCCGCCGCCGTCGCTCCGAAACGGCGTGAGAAACCTAGGCACTCACCTCTGGGGCTGAGCTCGCCCCTCTTGCGCTTAAAATCAAGTAGCCTTCCCCTGCCTCCCGGAGCTCAGACAGGCTGCCACACCGAGCGAACGCGACGCGTGCACACGTCCACACGCAAACAGCACATGTACGAACCCAACTGGGTGTGGAACAGAGGCGCAGGGAGCGCAATGCACGCACAGCATGCACACGCGCGCATCCCGACCCCGAGCCCTCCCCTCGCAGCCCCCCCCCGCCCCCTCCGTCTGCCAGGTCCCCAACCCGCTAACCTCACCAGACAGCCGGGTAACTTTCCAGGTGCGCAGCTGTTCACCTCTGCGCGGCTGCCCAGCGTCTGGGCGTCCTCTCCCACGCCGCCCTTCCCAGCCGCCC